AAAAAAGAGCAGGCAGTGAAAAAAACACCTTGCGATTTTTTAGGAGAAAAAACTGTCGGTGCGGGTCTGATGGAGCGACAGACCTTGCTGATACTAAATTGTGGTCGCCGTCTAATTTTTTTCTGCTAATTTAACCTTATGATGACAGCTTCAGCGTCAATCAGTCAATTTGCATAGATATATTGGTTTATGTCCATTTCCACAAGCCTTTTTCTTTTTATCAGCTAGCCCGATAGCGGTACTTTCGAAATCCACGTTTAGTGTGCCACCGTTATGCCGCTGTCCTGTCGTTTTTACGAGAATAAGTTTCCAGCCGAGGACGATGTTGTTGTCGCTAGTGTGAAATCCATATATCCTATGGGTAGTTATGTTGAACTCCCAGAATACAATAACGTTGATGGAATGATACTTCATAGCGAATTATCAAGACGCCGCATACGATCCATCAACAAATTGATTCAAGTTGGAAGGAACGAGATTGCACTCGTTATCCGTGTTGATCCTGAAAAGGGTATGCTTGTAGTTTGATTTGATTCTTTTAGGTTATATTGATCTTTCGAAACGGAGGGTACCTGCTGAGGAAATTCCTAAGTGCCAAGAGCGATATGCGAAAGCTAAAGCAGTTCGTAACATGCTACTTTTGTTTCTACCCTAGTAGGTCAATCAGATCGTCCGGCACGTCGCCGAAAAGCTTGATTATACAAACGAACAGCTCGAAGACTTATGTGCTAAGACTGTTTGGTATTTTGATAAGAAATACAACAAGACTGGAGGATCATATGATGCGTTTAAACGGGCAGTTCAGTAAGTTTAACCTTGGCGTCGTTTGACGTTGTACGCTTAAGTTTGCCTTACATTCTTGTGTCGAACCAGTTTCTTTATTGCGCTCTTAAATATATATGTATATCCCGCCGAAGTTTAGCACCCCTTTAGTTAATCCTGACTCCTACAAAAGGACGTATTTTTGAAGTCCAGGCATTTCTTCCCAAAACTTTACACTCCTGTAGCCCTTATGTGGATGCTAATATTGAAAAACAGATTACATTTTGATAGCCAAAACAAAATTCTGCGGATATCGAAATAGCTGTTCCTTATGCTGGTTTTAATAGCTATTTGAGACAGCCCAACGTTTGCCAGGAATGCCGACCTGATGAAGTAAAATAACTGTCAAAAAAGTAACTGACAATTGATATTCATTGTCTCGCAATTTTTGCATCCGTGTGCCTCTGTAGATTTAACGGCCCACTGAATAACGTGTAAATGAATCAAACGGCGGAGATATTCAACGTCTGCTTCTTCAGGCAATGTTTATATTTACCACTTATGCCTCCGTCACCATAACTCATGAAGTACTAGGAAGCTACTTCGAAAGTGCAATTTTCGAATATCATCTTTCTTGATAACTTAAGGATGTAGTATAGAAGTTCCGTGACCGACCTTGCTGATTAAGTCAGTGGATAACTTAACCCTCCTTTAGTTAAGTCATAATGGCTAAAATAAACTCAATGGCTTATACTGTCCTATAACGTACAGAATCAATCTTGACCGAGTGAGAGCATGAGATGAATGATTTAGCGCATGTTCACATCGACTTGCTTGTAGTTCGAATAATGACCGTATTCATAACTTACATAACACAGTCGAACTGTTCAGTGTACTCTGAGTGAAAAAATTCTTGTACATATAAACGGAGACGAGTGTTCGAATTTCAAATGTCTGAATGAGTAAGGAAGAAGACTTTTCGAGCATGGCAAGCATTCGTTTAGTTGTTTGGACTTGAAAACTCGTGCGAGAGTCCTTCGTCGGTGCTAAACTTCGCAGCGGACCAGACGACAGTTCTAGAGGTGTTTTGTGATCAGATTCAGTAGAATTTGGTGTACCAAGTCCTATCATCCGCTGCCTTTACCCGCTTTGTGCACAGTTTATGGAAAAAATGACATCTTTCTGTCTACATATCTACTTGTTACTCCGTTTGTGCGAAAGTAGCTGACAATGTAGTGATTTTGAACAATACTAAACTACACATGCAAAGGTTCCCTTGTTTCATGCGTGAACCGCCATGCAACTTTGATAGAAACGCTACCAGCCACCAGCCCTGTTCCAGTGTTGGAACGACGGTTTACTCAAAGGCTTCAGGTTATTCATGTCTCAGAATATTCTGAACGCTACGCATCATAGACTGGACATATTTTTTGTATAGTCGAACATTGAATGACCTTCGAGAGTCACATATTATCGTCTTCTGTCCCTGGTACAGTGTAATCTTGGAAACAAATCATTTCATTCCTTTGGAAATCACTAATCGCCCGGGGTCTGTCTTTTCAATGCAGTTTCTTCGCAGTCAATAGCCAATCTAATTCATTCAAACCCAGAGTCATAGTTATATCCGCTAGTCTCTTGCCCCTACTTGTGAATTCTCTTTTTATTAAAAACTAAAGCATAATGGCTCTGCGTCTGCCTCCTAAGGTAACCAGTGTCTGACAAAAACTAAAACCTTATTTCGTTGTTTGAGAGGCTCACATGACTGATGAGCTTGTTGAAGCTCTGCTGAAATATCCAATAGAGGTCTTGTTGATTTAAACCTCCGATTACC